GGAAATGTCACGACGACGACGCCGCTCTCCTTCCTCGAGTTCCGGGGTTCGTAGATATGGTACGTCGTAGAAGTCATCCTTTGGAAGAGAAGACCTTTAGCCGAGAACTGGCCAAAAACAGACAATGACGTACGAAGCGATGGATCCGTTTGAACGGGTATAAGTGTTTATGTGAGCTTATGGAATATTCATTGTCCCTATATTCTTGGTCTCTTAACCTTTTAAGATGATCTGTTCGCATAGTGTGCGATAATCATGACTCCTTTTCAAGCTATTCAACTTATTGACAAATATTAGAAATGTGAAAGTTTACAGAGATGCATGTATCACCTACAAGCAAACTTGGCTATTGTGTGCTCGAACTTTTTATTATTTTTCATCATCGATTTATCGACAAAAGCGAGATAACTCGTTCATCACACAGATATGTCACGTATAAAGTATCATGTTACTTAATTAATGTAAAAAAGTTTATAGAAACAATATGGCATATGCAAGAATAGAGTACGGTCAATTAGATATAACAGGTTTATATTTTATTATTCATTAAAGCAATTTTTCCCTCTCTGCATTATTATAAAATATATAATAACAATTGAATATATTAATAAAATATATCTTAATATAATGTTTAGTATTAATGACATATGCTCTTTGCGCTCTCCTCTTCCTCTTCCTCTCTCTCTCTCTCTCTCTCTATGACTTCGCCGGCAAACCAACTCGCAGCAGAGCACATAATGCGTGGTAATCGGTTCCCATTTATTAGCTGTGCTTCCATCACGCTCGTAACTTGTGCCTTCCACCATACTGGGCCCAAAGCATTATTGAAGTATCCCGGCCGCGTACACCGAGAGGAGATACTGTACACAAATCACAACAAAGCCGGTGCATTAGCGCGACATCATCCTGAACCTTGTATAACATGTCCAGTATTCGGAGCGACGTAAACTACCATGGTAAAGCCGCCCCGGTCTGTACGACCACGAGAGCGCATCGATCGTGTGGAGAGCAAAATTTACAAACGCCCTTTCAATTCCCTTATATAATGGCGACGCGAAATAACGGGGTCGCGAGTCGAGGATCGCGAGAGATTGAGGAGACGGAAATCGCGACCGGTGATTTTTTAATCGTCACATTTCCGCGCGCGCGTTCGAAACAAATCTCGACAGTTGCACCGTCATCAATGCGGAAATGGCGAAGCGTATCGTCATTCCCCGGTTATATCAACAGAGCGAAATTCTACCATCCAGTCCATTGGGAGGTAATACAAACACTGCAGTGTAGGAAACTTGGATTTTCATTTGCATACTCGGCTAGGAGACGGCGGAGTGCATACTAGGGAGTGTATTATACATGCTTTCGAATTAGCATACGCTTGGCATTTGCAGTGATACAATTAACCCGGGCCGACGTAAGCTGCAAAAAGTGCGATTCCTCTTAAGGTTTTTCGAGCGCTTGCGAATATTCGCGAAAATTCGCCCTTTCGATACACCCTTCCCTAACTTAAGAGCCAAATATATATGCATATAAATATATGTACACATGTATCGATTCCTCACATCATTTTACGCGTCACGCGAATATCGAGAGAATCTGTTAATAACGTCGACAAGCGATATTAATGAAAGGTCTGCCTGCGAACGACATCATTTTGTACTCGGTTCCTCTCTTTCCTTTTTTTTTTCCTCCCCCAGTCTGATCACAGGACGCTAACCAAAGCTTTCAGATCGAGCTGAAAACTTTAGACATCCGATCGAACTCTGCGCATGAAGATGAATGGGCCGCGAATTGCGGACTAAGTAGGATGTCACGAGGCAGCTCTCCTGCCATTTTCCACTCCCAACCCTGTACAACACAGCAAATCTCTCCGTCTCTCTCTCTCTCTCTCTCTCTCTCTTCACGTTCTACCCCACTGTTTATACCTCGTGTACCACAGCTCTCGCTTTCTGTCTATCTCTCTATCTCTCGTTCTCTCTTTCATCCCTTCACCCTTGTTGCTGTACAACTCTCGTTCTCTCTCGGTATCTCGGTTATATCGGGGCTCTCGCTTCTGCCGATGGCGTAACAAACGCAAGCGCGCGCGGCCGCATCCATCATGCGAGCCACTTTGTCACAACGGGATCAACAGCGCTTAAATTGTATTCGCGATTCGAGAACAGCCCATAAATTCTCATCGTCGCGACGGGTGGTGCTTCCTCCTTAACACGCGCCCGAGCGCCGTGATTCGACGGGGTTCTCTTCTTTCTCGTCGTGTATCCCGGTTTACATCTCCCGCTTTTATGGATTATTTTCCGTAAAATTTATGCTACATTACATATTTTGTATGTCGTACAACGCATTTTACCATTCATTCAAGCGAAGTACTTCGTTGATGAAATCGAAGAGACATATCGTACTTGATATGAGCTTCGAGTTGTTGAAGAATAAAGATTGCCGAGTAGCGCTAATGCGTTTCTAATGAAAAATAAAAAATATATATATCTGACTTTTTAAAGTACTTGCTTAACTCTGCACGCTAGTACGGAATTACGACGACGCGCTAATAATACAATGCAGTACGGGCAATTTCTCTTGAAACATTTCTAATGGCACCGAGTCAGTTGGATAGTTAGCGCTCAAATACCTGTCGTTAACTAGAGCAATCTAGCCCGAAGCGTACGGCGAACGTATTCATAAGGGAACCGAATATATCATGCTCGCGCATCTCCCTCTTGGTGTGAATGTTCACTGAACAATGGTTAACGATGACATTTTCGAATCGTGTGCGGAGTACAGCGACCAGTTACACGAGTGCTTGTACAAGGGGAATGTACATAGTAATCTATTTGATTTGATCAACGGCTTGTGTGCTTAATACTCGACAAAAAGTTATTTTAACTCTAGGATATATGACTTGCATCGCGAATACGATGGTGTAACGCGCGCCAATTTTATTCTATTCGCAAATTTAATTATTATCCATATTGATATGCGATACGTCATTTTTGCTTCGTAATCGATCGCTGATGCATCAAAATGAAAATGATGAAAGCAAAAATATGGACTGCACACGTGTAAATATTTAAAATTTTTTAAATTAATTTTTTTCTAATTTATTGTGATAGATAATTAAAAGTGGAATGTATTGATGAAAAAGTATTTCTAAAATATTATTAGAAATAATTTGTTTAAGAATATATTTAGTTTAATAACAATATATTGTAACAACGTTTCTCTTGCAAAACAAATGTATCAAAATTTATATTTTTGATACAAAATATCAAATAAGATTTACTTATTGTTAGTACGATATAGTTTTGAAAAGATATTATCGCATCACTGATTTAATTTAGTACGATTACGGAAATTTCCGACAACGCAAACTTCTGCGTAAGGAAGGTTAATCGGAAAGCAATGAACATCCCAAACTAATGCAATCAAGATCGTAATTAGCGCGGTAAACTGTATTAATTCTATTCCTGATAGCAGGACGTTTCTGGCTGCAAGTCGACGAAAGAACTTTCTTCAATTCGTGCTTGAAACAGGGTCACACGGCGGCTGCACACATGCAGAGAAATACGGATCTCGAAGATACGACCGAGTCTGCGACCACGTGCGACTGCGGTTCGGTACTTATGCAATTACTGGAATAGCCTTTGCAAATTGAATCTCAACCGCGGGTCGAGGATATCGAGGAAAAAAAAATTAACATCCATGCTACTATTATTGCCCCGAGAGAGGATGGCTCGAAAGGGATAGAGGCAGAGGACACGGCGTGACCAGCCGTATTTCCAGGGCTCCTAACTGTTTCCGGATATTGGATATTACAGCCATCCGCAGAGACATGAGGATACGCGAGAGTTAGATACACGTATATCGTCGAACATGATAGACTAACGGATAGTATATGGATTTTTATTTCATTTCTCGCTCGCATTTCATCTACGAAATTCTAGGAAACGTATAATTGATATTTTACTTTAGGCAGATAAATCGATTTTCTCGTAAGCTCCGAGGAATAGTAGAAAAAAAATTATTCCGTAGAAAAATACGACTCTCTTTTCCTGCGCAGAGGAATCCTTCAGAATTTTCAATCAGAAAAAGAGATTTTTTAATCTCTCTCTCTTTCTTAATAAATACATTTTAATAAATATAATACACTCCTCAAAATAATTAAGGGATCAACAAAAATTGTTCAAAAAAAAGGTAAATTTTAAATAGTTGTAACTTTTTTAAAAAAATAAGAATTTAAATTTTAGAAGAGTTTTAAAGCTTGAAATCTCTATTTTCGAAGGGTCATAGCTTTCTTCATTTTCTTCAATACTGATATTTTTATGTACAAAAAACGACGAACATAACGAAAATGGAAAATTTTCTTCTAACTTTGTAGCATGTCGCATACACAAGAAAATTTGAAAAAATTTTTGGACATTTTCACGTTTAAGCCGATATAAAGTTTTTCCTGCAAAATCGTTTTTTAAAATTTAAATTTTGATCTTTCCTAATCAAGTTATCGCAAATTGAAGAGAAAATGTCATTTTCACTTTGATCGATAACTTTGTTAAAAATCATCGCAAGAAAAAACGCAAGCGTATATCCTTAACGATGCGAATCTTTTGTTTCTGCTATTTTGATGTGTAACTTTAAGTAAATTTACTTGAAATTTATTATTATAATTATATTAAATTAGTAATTATTTATATAACTATTGTCATTAATAATTATTATTTATTGTAATAAAGTTAATAAAATATCAAATATTCACGCTTATTATATTTGCCATTGCGTTACTTTTTCTATTTATAAGCTCTCTTTCTCTTGCTCTAATATAAATAAATAACCAAACAATTTTAAAATTAAGAGATACTGAGGAGATTTAAATTATTTCAATATTTACATTTTAACAAAAAAAAAGTATGTACTATCGCGACCTTCTCCCCTTTCTTCTATCTTCGTATACTTTTACTTGAAATAATTTTCTTTGTATTTAGTCGTACACTATCTGTAATACGTAGCGAACATCATGTCAGGCGCACGGAATACCTGGGCATTAAAATATTTCACACAAATAAATGCTAAACGTGCAAAATGCAATATATGTGCTAAAGAAATTACTACTTTTACATTTATTAAAAGTAATGCAAAGACACATTTAAGAAAGGTCCATAATGAAGAATATCGCAATATTACTTCAGAGAACTCACCAGAAAGTTGAGAGTCAAAATTTGATAGAATTGGAAACACTCATATGAAGTGCAAATTATGTGAAAAAGTAATAGCTTTATTTAAACAGTATCTGTACACACAACATCTACGTTCAATACACAATTTAAGAGAGAAAGAACACAACTTGGTGACTACATATTTTAAGAAATTGAATTGGCAGGACCGACAATGTACAAAGTGTAATACGGTTATTGAAAATTCTAATTTTTCTGTCTTCGTGGAACATTTTAACCAGTGTTTCAGTCAATAGATCTTAAACTTCAGATTAACAAAATAAAGGAAAAAGCGGTAAATGTTATAATCTATGTTTTTTTCGAATTACTTTGATAGATTTGTTCATGACGGACGTCTTTCTGCTTTCAAACTGCATTTTAGCCAATGTCAGGGGAATATGATGAATCTTTAGATCTAACTTTACCGAAATAATAGAAAAAGCGGTAAATATTAAAGTTTATGTTTTTGTTCACATTACTTACATATGCGTTTACGTACAATGAATAAAATTGTGTATAATATTTAACTATTCAAATATGTAGCATATGTATATTATAAATATAAATATTCAAGACAGATGTGTATAATTTGAACTGTACAAGTATTATAAGCATTAGAGTCTCAGTTTTACTTAGTTAATACTATATTAAAATATAATTACTTATTGTTAGCTAATTCTAAATTTAAATTTGCCTACTATTTATTAATCTTACAGTCGATAATTTATGATAATTCGTGACAATTTGTAATAATTCGCAATTCTTATAAATTATAAATAAACACGAGGATTAAATAATGCAACAAATATTTCTGATTTTCGATAGTATTCCGGTGTCAAACTTTGATAACATTGAATATTTAAGTTTTTGAAAAGACTTAAATAATAAATGTTTTATTTTTAATATAAGATTTGAATATGATTTTAAAATATTGATTAATCTTGTAATTGTTACCTTTTATTCTGTGCAGATCATACAGCAATTCAAGCACTTTAAGTTTTAAAAAAGATGCTGAAACTGTTATACCACAATAATCAGTTGCAGTAAAAAGCTGCAGTAAGAAACATTTTGAGCTTGATAATTTAAATAATTTCAAAGATGGAAAAGAAGCAAACGTATATCTCTGATGACGAATCGTCGATGACGATCTGTATTTGTCATTTTGATATGTAACTTTAAGTAGATTTACTGAAAATTTTTATTATTATAATTATAATAAATTATTAATTATTTATATAATTATTAATTGTCATTAATAATTATCATTTGTTTGTTGTAATACCGAAAATAAAAGTTTTATAAATTGTATACATCAAATAATTTTATCAGATAACTATTATAACGTATATCTTATTTATTTTTACATTCAACTAATTTATTTCGCATTTTCTTTTTTATCAACTTGATGATTTAAATTAATTAGTTTAACAAAATTTATGTTAATCAAATATGCTGTGAGAAATTGCTATTAATAATATGTTTGCGCTTATTGTTTAATATTTGCAATTGTGTAACTCTTTATATAATCTTTCTCTAATCAATTATAAATAAATAACCAAATCATTAATATTAAAACATGCTAAGCAGATTTAGAATGTGTATCGATATTTTTATTTAAATAAAGAATCATATGTACTTTACGCACGACACTTGCTACTTTCTATTAGAGTCAGCTTTACTTAGCCAATTATTATTAATAATTATATTATTATCAATTGATTGTAATATAGGTAATTAAAAATGAAAAAGTCTCACAAGTAAAATGATTTGATTTAGTATAATAATGTACGTCTCTTCAATTTATATTTCAATGTATATAGATTAATATGTAGGTAACCAAATAGTTAAAATTCAATGTTTTTGAGGAAATTTAGATTTTATATCAATATTTACATTTAAACAAAAATAATATGTATATATTTTTGCGACCTTCTCTTTCTTCTATCTTCGTACTTTTACTTGAGATAATCTTCTTTTGTATTTAGTCGTACACTATCTGTAATACGAACATCATGTCACACTTACCGAGAATCTGGGACTGGGCATTGAAATATTTTACACAAATAGATGATAGATATGCAAAATGCATTATATGTGCTTCAATAATTGTTTCTTTTACTCTTACCAAACACAATGCAAAGAGACATTTACGTAATGACCACAACGAAAGGTATCGCAACATTACTTCAGAAAACTCAACAGAACGTTGGGAATCACTATTTAATACATTTAAAGACAATGAAGACAGTTATATGAAGTGCAAAATTTGTGGAAAAGTTTATTGGATGACCAAACAGGAAAAACTCACACCACATTTACGTAAAAGGCACGATATAACAAAGGAAGATCACTACTTTGTGGCTACACATCTTAATCAATATATCACATTTTACCAGACACGACAATGCACAAAATGTAAAAGAATTTTTCAAAACAGGCGTCTTTCTGTTTTCAAACTGCATTTTAGCCAATGTCAAGGGAATAATGAACCTTTAGATCTAACTTTACCGAAATAATAGAAAAAGCGGTAAATATTACAGTTTATGTTTTTCTTCATATTACTCACATATGCGTTTACGTACAATGAATAAAATTGTGTATAATATTTAACTATTCAAATATTTAGCATATGTATATCATAAATATAAATATTCAAGTCGGATGTGTAAAATTTCAACTGTACAAGTATTATAACCATTAGAATCTCAGTTTTACTTAGTTAATACTATATTAAAATGATTACTTATTGTTAGCTAATTCTAAATTTAAATTTGCCTACTATTTATTAATCTTATAATTGGTAATTTATGATAATTCGTGATACACACAATTTTTAATAATTCGCAATTTTTCTAAGTTATGAATAAATACGAGGACTAAATAATGCAACAATAATTTTTGTTTTTGGATAGTATTCGGGTGTCTAACTTTTGATAATATCGAATATTTTAGTTTTTGAAGAGACTTGAATAATAAATGTGTTTTATCATTAATATAAGATTTGAATATAATTTCAAAATATTGAGAGAGATTAATCTAGTAATTGTTATTTATTATTCTGTGCAGATCATTCAGTAATCCAGACACTTATAGTTTTAAAAAAGATGGTGACAATGTTACTCTAGAAATCAGTTGCAGTAAAAAGCAGCAGTAAAAAATATTTTGAGCCTGATTTATTTAAATAATTTCAAAGATGAAAAAGAAGCAGCGCGTATATCCTTGATAACGAACCGTCGATCTATTTTTGTCATTTTGATGTGTAATTTTAAATAGATTTACTTAAAATTTTTATTATTATAATCATATTAAATTATTAATTATTTATATAATTATTAATTGTCATTAATAATTATTATTTGTTTGTTGTAATAAGAAAAATAAAAATTTTTTAAATTGTATAAATATAATAATGTTATCAGGTAACTATTATAATGTATATCTTTATTATCACATTCTAACACACACATTCACAGAAAATATATAACTTTCAACTAATTTCTTTCGCAATTTCTTTTTATAAACTTGATGATTAAAATTAATTAGTTTAACGGAATTTATGGTAATCAATTCTGCTCTGAAAAATTGCTATTACTATATATTTGCGCTTATTGTTTAGTATCTATTAGCTATACATTGTGTAACTCTTTTTATAATCTTTCTCTAATCGAATCATAAATAATAAATAACCGAATCATTAAAGTTAAAACATGCTAAACAGATTTAGACTGTTTATCAATATTTATATTTAATCAAAGAATCAAATGTACTTCTGCGCGTGACATTTGCCTCTTTCGTCTATATTCTTCCTATACAATTCTTTGAACTAATTTTTTTCTTGCATTTAGTGATATAATCTGTGATACGTAGCGGATATGATGTCTTAAATGGTAGTAGGAATATTTTACACAACACGACGATAAGACATTATGCAATATGTGAAACGTAGAATATATTCTAAATAGAAATGACTGATATATAAAGAAGCAGCTAATAATTGGATATCAGGACATTTATCGTAATATTCCTTTTTAAAAAAAATTAAGAGAAGCGTTGCTATTGCAATATGTCACAGATAAAATACTATGTAAAATTTGTCAAAAGACTTAAAAAATAATAATCTAATCTTCTTTTCTATTTGTTTTTGTGTTAAATTTTACTTTTGTTTCTTTTATAATTATCGCAAGTATATAATTATAAAATAATATATTTGAAGAAACATTTGATTAATAGAAATAATTTTTGAGCAGAATTTTCTATTTTAATATGATATAATTAACGTCGTATGATAGAAAACTTTGCAAATCTATTTTATTGCCCAAATTATTTTACAAGAATATTTTGTGCAGTTTATAATAATGGAACATATTAACAATTTTATAAAAATTATTTAATTCCATTACATGTTGTAAGGCTATGCTATTAATTTTAGAATTGTAAATGTTTTAATATAATTATTTGGTTATATTTTATTATTGCCGTCTTCTAGATTTTACACGTTTTTATATTTGTAATAATGTATCTGTTTTATGCTGATACATTTCTATATAAATATTATAAATATTTGAATCGGATTTATATACCACACAGAGCACTTGTGTTTTTCATAAGAATATTATAAATATTTAAATTAATTTGATTTAGCTAATACTACAATAAAGTAAATTAATTCAAATTTATTACTTATTTATTATAATTATTTTTTTATTTAGCTGCAAATATTGCGTATATTTCCAGCATAAATTTAAAATTGTAACTGTTGAAGAATAAAAAATAAATAAATGATCTGAGACGTTAAGCAGATGTAGACTGTGTAACAATATTTATAGTCATATAAGAGAATCACGCGTTTTTCAGTGACCTTCCTCCTTTCCTTTTATCAACAATTTTATATTCTTTGTACATTATTCCTTAAAATAATTTTCTTTTTGATTATAGCAGTGCCCGATTTGTTATATGAAATGAATATCATGTCATTGTCACAATATAGCTGGCAGTAGAAATACTTCACACAAGACGAATATCAGGCATCATGCAACATGTGTAAAGCACAATATACTTTTTAAAGATATGACTCAAATAAAAAGAAACATCAGAATGTTTATCGTAATATTCTTTCATAAGGAAACTGACAAGATTGACTGTCACAATTTGACTTAATTAGAAATCGTATGAAATATAGAATTTGTCAAAGATCTTATAGCATAACAATAACTATTTCATCTGGTATGAGAACACACTTAATTGATGAACACAATATTAATAAAGGAGAAAAGATAGAAAACAAATTGATGTCTAAATATTCTAAGACATTACTTCCGCCTCAGACACGAAAATGCTTGCTATGTAAAGTTCTTCAAAACTGTAATTCTTCCGACTTTTTCAACGTTTTAGCCAGTTTCACGAGACTAATAAATCTTAAGGTTTCAAAAACGGTAAATATTATAGAATTATATATTTTTAAAATTATTTACATATACATTTATATATAATGAATCGAATTGTGTATATTAAACTATTCAATTATAATTAACTAATACTAAATTTAAATTTGCCATCTATTTATTAATCATGCAGTCGGTAATTTAAAATAATTCGTGACAATTTCTAGTAATTTGCAATGTTGATGAATTATAAACAAATGCGAGGACTAAATAATGCAACAAGTATTTTTGTTTTTGGATAGTATTCGCGTGTGAAATTTTTGATAATATCGAATATTTAAGTTTTTGAAGAGACTTGAATAATAAATGTGTTTTATTATTAATATAAAATTTGAATATGATTTTAAAATATTGACTTAGAAGTTTTCAAATAAAAGTTGAAAACGTTGCAACACATCAAGTAACAATACCCGCAGTAAAATAAATTTTGACTTTATGAAAAGAAAAAATCATCACGCGCCCCTGGTAAGTAATCATTTATTAATGTTTTTTATGTATATATTTTATGTATTATAAATTAAAGCATTTTTGACTATATTTATAATTAATTTTAATAATTATTAAGTTAAATATTATTAATATGATTAATAATTATCATTAATAATTATATTATTATCACATAATTATAACAAAGGTAATTAAAAATATGATGTAAACTCATAAATAAAAAGGTATGATTAAGTATAATAATACGTCTCTTGAATTGATATTTCAACAAGTATATAGATAAATTAATTTCAATCATGTTTAGATATAGGCATCCAAACATGATTGAAATTGAGTGATATTGAAGAGATTTTAACTATATCAATATTTACATTTAAACAAAGAATTTCTATGCATTTCTGCGACCTTCTCCTCTTTCTTCTATTTTCGTATATTGTTATTTGAAATAATCTTTTGTATTTAGTCGTACACTATCTGTAATACGTAGCGAACATCATGGCATATTCACGGAGAACCTGGGAGTGGGCATTGGAATATTATACAGAAATAAATGATGTACAAGCACAATGCAATATATGTAATACAAATAGTTTCTTTTTGTCTTAAAAGAAGTAATGCAAAGAATCATTTAAGAAATAAACATAAGGAAATTCACCGCAATGTTACTTCAGAGAACTCAACAGAACATTGGGTGTCGCAATTTGATATAATTGCAGACACCCATATGAAGTGCAAAGAGTATTACGAAGAAATCCGTATACATAAAAATGAAAAGTTAACACAACACCTAGCAAACCACAATTTTACAGAGGAAACACACGACGAGCTAACTACATATTTTAATAAAAAAGGTAGTACGCAATTACGAGAATGCACAATATGTAGCCAGCTTTTAGCAAATGTTGCCGATTCCTTAAACCATTTGAGGCAATGTCATGCATAATTGATGAATCAATCTTAAAACATCAGACCAACGGAATAAAAGAAAAGGCGGTAATAAATATATATTATTTATCTTTTTTTAATTACAAATGTTTTTATACGTACTGAGTAGAATTGTGTAAAATGTATTAAACTGTTAAAATATTCAGCATGTGTTTCTAAAAAAAATATAATGAATTTTCAAATCAAATATTTATAATTTTGATTTTATGAGTATTATAAATATTCGAGTCAAAACTACCATTTATTTATTAATCTTATAGTCTGTAATTTATGACAATTTGTAATAATTCGTAATTTTTATAAATTATAAATAACTATAAAGATAAGTAATGTAACAAATATCTTTATATTTATATAAAATATCAAATATTTTTGAGAATATATTGAATTTTAAAATTTTCGGAGAGTCTTGAATAATAAAAGTATTATATTAATAATAAAATTGTATGCGCATTATTGAAGTAGAAGTTTATATTATTGATTAATCTTTTTTATAATTGTTATTTTGTATTCTGTGCAGATCATTCAGAAATACTGAAAACTATGCAGCTGCAGAAAAAAGCTGGAGTAAAAAACATCTTTATCATGAAGACTTATGGTATATAATTTCAAAGGAGAAATGGTATCAAACGTGTATCCCTGATGACGAATCATTTATTTTTGCCATTCTCATGTGTAACTTTAAGCAGTTTTACAAAATTTTTTTATTATAATGTAAGTCATATTAAATTATCATTATTTATATATTTATTAATTGTCATTAATAGATATTATTTGTTTGTTGTAATAACAATAATAAAAATTAAAAATAAAGAGAAAAAATATAATTTTATAAAATAGCTGTATGTTATATTTTATTTCTATTTAATATTAATTTTTTTAGCAAAACATTGCTGCTTTCTTTGGTCTTGTCTTATCTAATTTTGGCATTCTAATGCAGCAGCATTTAATGTTGTATTTTGCATCTGAATTATGAAGCAGGGAAGCTTGTAATTAACCATTTAGCAAGCTATCATCGTGCAGCGTAACCCATGTTGCGCTATCTTTTCGCTTTCACTCGCTAGTCGCAATTCATAATTCTGCAGAGCTGTTGCAGCTTCAACGCGGAATCATCGCACCCGCTCGTCCCGAAAACTCAAACGCGAATCACACACGCGTTGCGTACGCGTTGGCGCGTATTATTCTAAACACGAGGCACATCCTATTTGTACTATTAATGAGAACAATACGCACGAGAAATACGCACGTATGTGATACACAATATAACGATATATACATCGCGCATTCTCGTCGTTCGCGCGGAAATATACCCTGTATTCCTCGTTTCTCATCTCGCAATTTCCAAGGACGGGAGGCAATACGGAATAGACGAGGAGAAGCCATTAATTACGAAAAGAGCATTAGAGTTCGACGCGCGAAATGCGAACTTTCCCAGAGGATCCGCAGGCGCGGATGTCCCGCAACTGCGAGGTAAGTAGGGCGCGAACACGTAACGACATTAATATCGAATCGCTCGTCTCGTTCGCGCGTTCGAGAGCTCGCTGCTTGCGAATCGCGCAGCGTCTCCTGCGTTTTCAGGCCCCTCGACTGAAAAGCTCCACGGAATAAATCCAAGCCGGTAATTCCGGAAAGAAGTTCTCTCTCGAGGATTTGTTTCGATGCCGAGCAATATCCTTCGCGCTGCCTGCTTCCTTTCATCCGGAGGATAATGACATGATGACGATAATTCCACTTTTGATAGCAATATTAAAACTCTCTCTTTGTGCACTATGTAAGGTACAAGTGAAACTCTCAAGTTCAAATTTCGCCATTATTTTTCATTGTTGTATTTATATTCATATATTTGTGTTATTTGTGGCGATCAGCTGATTGCCAAAAAATTCACGCGACAAGTAAGAGTATAAATCGATTCGAGATTTTTAGTGAGAAAAATTTAAAAAGGAATATATCTCTCGGTGTGAAAAAGATCTGGACATAAAACGATACAATTTTAAGAGCTAAAAATTTTCGAGCGATATTATGTGAGAGAAGTAAAGAAACGAGAGAGCGAAAGAAAAAGAAACACGAATGAAGCTATTAAAAGAAGGATTCGAAAAAAAGCCGTGTATCGCGGAACTTTTATGGATTTTACGTTTTACCAGCGAGGAGCAACGATTCTGGAAAAAAAACTCGTTCGCGAAAATCTTTTCTCCGATTTCTTCCCTGCATACGAATGTCGAATGTTAACGCGCTTAACTAGCTTATCTCTCGCGTTTCTTCATCCGCAGAGAAGATTCGTACGTACATGTGTATGTGTATGTGTGTCTATGCAAGCGCAAGCGCGAAAGTCGACAGAGACGTGTCTCCGTTCCATCGCGGAGAGCAACTCTCTTTTTCTGTTCTCGTAATTACTTAATACATTATTAATAGACGGCTGACTTTACATAAGCTCTCCAGGGGAAAGACGGAAAATTTCGAGACGAGAAGTTAAGCAGATTGCCAAGACTGGACATTTGCATACTGGCGCCGCTGCACCTCTTCCTCCTTTTACCCGTACCGACAAAATCCTACCATCATTTCACCGCACGTAGTCATAGTAACACTTTTCCGAGCGAAATGCTATATTATTGGATGAATCTCCCGACTTTCAAAAAGTTTTCGATAATGAACTCCGTTTTAAGTAGAGATAAACGGATATAACGCAAGGAAGAGTAAAAACATAAATGGAGAGGAAACTTAAATTAATTTAAATTATCGCATTAATTTTTTTCAAGAGAGATTCCTTCTTCCACATCTATTCTTTTTCTCTTAAATGAACGATGCATCTCTTCTGCAATTTCGCAAACGATGCGTCGTCCGCTCGTAGAGTCCGAGTATAATAAAAGTGTTTTATTCTCCTCCCCGAAGGTATGCTAAATAAACTTGAAAATATCCTTTTCCGAGGTAACGATAAGATGGCTTTAAAGCGCAGATTTGCACGCTTTAACTATTAGTCGAGGAGCCGTTCGCAAGATACAGTACGCCATCAACAGTGGGTAGATATTCAACCCTCGGAAGGAGGACAGTGAAGCTCCAGTGTAACTTTAGTGGTAAATTGGAGGTAATTTGCGAGAGAGGCGGTCACCCGGGCAGTTAGCGAGCCAACAACCGCCGCCAGAACAACAGACTTGCTCGCCCAGTGTACCGCTGTTACCTGAACGTTGGCTTTACAAAGGGTTAGAAGGAGCTGTGAGCAAATGGTCCGCTCTTTCGTCCGCATCGATATTGCTTCTTCTGTCGTTAATCGTATTTAACCAAAATGTAGTAACGCTTGAACGACGACTTGGTCCGCCTGTTTAAAATTTCAAGAAACTTAAAAATCTTAAAAATCGAGAAAAAAATTAATCATGTGTCAACTCTTTTCAAGATTAAACAATATTGTTGTTGAATTGCATGGAATTTTTCTCGATTGTATCTGCTTTTGTATAAAGAGCGATTCGAATGTATGGAACGTGAATATTTGCAAAAATAAAATGCTGCATTCATTCTATAAAAATAGCGATATCTCGGTAACTTGTGTAACTTTTGTAAAAATTTACAAAGCATCGTAATGTAAATGTATTCGTCATTATACCGCGAAGAAAGGATACAAAAGGCTCAATAACGAAAGGAAAAAAAGCGCGATGCGATTTAAATTTTACATTATTTTTATTCACCCCGTTGGAGTCGACCGGTTAATCATCTCTTTGTCCAGGAATCACAATCAATACTGCCGTTTGTACGATTAGAGAATAAGTAAAGCTAAACGCATAGTCCCTTCCCTTTCATATTGATGCGCGAATCACGTACATTGAAACGATAAAGCGCTCAATATGGAGCACAATGAAAAGCAGCGCTCTCGCGCAAGAGGATGAAAGGAGCTTATGTTTCACCATCGGCGCACCGTTTGCAAATCATCGTCACCGATTTCAGACCACGAGAATTTCACTTCGTTCTATTCCACGTACATTCACACACTGGTATCCTATTTTTACACACTGGACGGTGACCGCGCAAAAAGGCAGTTTCCGCGAATGCGGCGTTTCGCTTTCTCACTTCCGCGGAATATGTGCGGTCGCGTAGACTTTTTACTTTCTCTTTTTGTTCCTTTTTTTTTTTCTTAATTTCACGGATATATTTTCTATGCCGACGCATTTGCATTTTAATGAAGGGACCGCGAAAGAAAGTTATAAATAAGAAACACTTGGGCACGAACACTAGATTAAAAGCAGGATCAAATGGAGGTCGGGTAAGTTGCAAGCGACGAAATTATTCACGACGAGGAGACCGGTAGTCATTCTTTTTTCGCAGTGTCTTGAGGGCCACAGGTGCGCGCATAAGAAATAGCGAAGAAAACTTTGATTCTTAATGTTGATCTTACACCGTTGCTAATCTCGAGATGTTATGTACCGAACGTATTGCAAAATTACGTAACCTCTGATGTTAAATTTCATTTTTTCCAAAAGATATTTTTTCACCGCGTCGTTTAATCTTCACAACGACATTTGTTACGATTGCGCGATACAATCTTCCAAAAGTTCCCTACTAAGCTTACTCTTGAGTCGCGCGAGGGATTTGAGGCGAGTATGCGACTTATTACATTTGCCGTGCAGCTTAAAACTGTCTTAGAGACACGGAGGGTTCGAGGAAATGATCGCGCGATA